CTACCGCTAAATAAAGATCTGAGGACATCCGATTAGGGGTTACGTCAGAACGAACTTTCATCCGACCAATCAGAGCGTCGTTTACCAAATCATGAAAGTGACAGTCGGAATGTGATTTCTAATCTTGCAACCTCGAAAACTTTAACACGGGGTATTCCGAACGATATTTACGGGCTTAACGACTGAATCCATTCAATCTAGATCATCTATTAGCCATTCCAGAATGTGTTTTTATTCAGGTTTCAAATTTTTATCGAGAATTTGTCAAAATATGTTTCGAAGCGTGGTCGCCAATTTGAAAATAAGTGCCGTGAAGCACGAAAAAGCTGCCTTCTGGTTGGCTTATGTGAACTTCTTGTCAGTCATTTCATTGGTCGGTCAAAGTTCGCGCAAGGTCGGTCTGACGTGACCCGTAATGGGATGTCCTCAGATCTTTGTTTAGCGGTAGCGAGAACCTCAGATCTGATTTTAATGAGATTGCGATATGAGAGACGCATCTTCCCGAGGCAAGGGCGTTAACTGACTATAAAAGTCCAGTTTCCACCCTTGCCGAACTGGGCTGGAAATTTCAGGCTCGATCATAGCGCCACCAGTGCCTATTACGAGCTATGTCCCTTCTGTGTCCCTCGTATGACCAATCATTTTCCACCTCTCATATCACTTGCAATTGCTTCAACTAAAATGGTGGATCGGTAATCAAGATCTACATTGTAATAAAACGGGAACTACGTCGCGCAGTGCATCAAATAAAGTTGAGCCACCTTGTTTACAACGTAATAAGATTTGCAAAATATCCAAGTTGAGAGTACACATGCAAATCCTTCAATCGACCGAAATCCATGTTGTTAGCGAACCGGATGTTGATTTCGTTACGCGATTTGATTGGACCATGCATAAACTCGTTAGTCCAGCCAAAATGTAACTTCGGAATTCCAACCTAGTTCGGCAAGGGTGGAAACTTACTGCTGTTGGTGTCTTTTACCCATAAGTTCATGTTTTGCGAGATACGGTCAGGCAAGGTAGCTATGAAGGAAAAACTGTGACATACTTGGGTCACATGACACATTAGGTCTTCCAGTCTAAGTATCGCCCGATGGCTTCCTTTAAAGAGTGGGGCGGTCGGGTAGCCTAGTGGTTAAAGCGTTCGCTCGTCACGCCGAAGACCCGGGTTCGATTCCCGACATGGGTACAATGTGTGAAGCCAATTTGTGGTGTCCCCCGCCGTGATATTGCTGGAATATTGCTTAATGCGGCGTAAAACCTCACTCACTCACTCACTCCTATAAAGAGTTTTGCGAACCGGTTGGCAGCCATAGTAAACGACAATGCCAAAATGATATACAAAATAAAGAAATTAGCAAAACTTGTAATTGTGAAATTTATCAGATATGTTCATGTGAATGAGAACAGGATTTTGTTTATTTAAACACGTGCATGATTTGGTCCTAGCAACACAAAATTGTGTGAAAAGAGCTGATTTGGAGGTTTTCGGGTAGCAGATGTTAGATACTTGACCCAAACTGATTGTCTTAGAAGATGAGGATAAAAAAAGAACAAACATATGGTAAAAATCAACTTGTGTCATGGACGTTTTCACTGCAGCATTCGGGTCAACACTAGGCAATACCCGACCATAAAGAATACTTTGAAATTTCGGACACATATTCCGCAAAAACAGAAACCTATGCAGAGCCTCGTGGGTTCTCTCATCGACGAAGTTGCCTCACCGGGAAAAAAATGGCTATCTTTCATAAAGGTTGTAGGCCTCCCAGCTATTGAAATGTGCTCGCTTCACATCGAAATTTTCCACAGTCCCCGGAGGGGTGACTAAACCGAGAATCGAAAATTACTTGCCACAGGCACTAGGCATCAGCCGTATTGTCTGAAACCCAACATGGCGTTAACACTTGACAAATAGGCGGCGATAACGCAGAGAATATGACCAAAAATCCGCGATATTTATCCGATGGAATTCTCAATCTAAAATCTCATTCTCCAGCCTTTCTGAATCAATTGAGAGAATCGGGGCGCGATATGGTTCTAGAAGTCTTGGAGAAACCATAAGGGTAATCCTTGGCTTCCAGGAATCAATGGCACCATCGTTTGGCGGGCGCGTGTCAAAAGAAGGGTCATATCAATATTAGGTTAAAGATGGGTCGCGGCAAACAAATATCGTTATATGGTCCCCACGTTTAATCACATCGGAGCTTCTAACGACCCTGTACCATTGTCGGGGAAACATAGGGAAAATATTTATTCGGTTTTATTAGAAATTCGACATCTTTCCGGGTTCAGAGGGAACGCAGCTCTTTGTTCACTTCACGCTTGTAATGGCAGCACCGGATGGACGGCCGTAAATGGGAATTGATGTCGTGAAATTTCAGGATGAACTTGCGATTATGCACCAAATGATGATACAGGTTAGAACGGTTTACGACAATGATTATACGCCACTGTATACATGAAGGGGAAATGTGTAAATATTGATCAACCTCCTCGAATCCACATCATACTTACAGAGAACTTCACGACATGAGCTACAAAGCATTGAAACGACGTTAGCTTTTGATCGTCGACAGACAACCCTCATTGTATGACTGTGTGGACGGGGCTGATCTTGTACACACATTATATCATCACAATGGAATCCCCTTCTGGGACTCCGTGATAACACACATCGACACGATCTACAGCTTACCGCTGCGCTCTGCTAACAAACAGAGTGGGTGTCGGATTCATTCAAGATGCAGGACATTTTCAGTTTCAGCAGGAATCAATGTTGTTTACGTTACTTTTTACATAAGAAGTCAGTTATTTGGACCAAGTAGGATATGAATCATTTTTCCGTCAAAAATTGATCAGGAAAAAGGCAAGATGTTTTGTTGGAAGGTTCTAAACCTGTGCTGTGTTTGGAGGTTGTTTGTTATTTTGTCTGCAATAGCTCAACCGCTAATTTTAATTCCATTAGGGACGGTCGGGTAGCCTTGTGGTTAAATCGTTTGCTCGTCACGCCGAAGACCCGGGTTCGATTCCCGACATGGGTACAATGTGTGAAGCCCATTTCTGGTGTCCCCCGCCGTGATATTGCTGGAATATTGCTAACTCACTCACTCATTTAATTCCATTACGGGACAAAAAATATATATGGAACAAAGGCAAGCAAAATCCACGGCAACGTGATCGGCAGTCAAGATGGTATCAGTAATGGAGTGAGTGAGTGGATGGAGATGGACGCCGGAATAAGACATGAAGAAGGAATCACACACTTGAGCTTCAGTAGGGAGTGTGCTCCACGGACAACCATTCTGGGTAATACCAGAAGACAAATAACTAAAAGTGAGAAAAACCCCCAAAACACTCCCATACAGACCCCTCTTTCTGTCCCCATTTATCGCAAGTGCCATAATCGAATCTGAGATTTCTGTGTGACAAGCTGACGCAGTTTGACTATCATGAAGCTCCCGACGTCCACGCAAGATCAACAAGTGCAGATCGATACTACCACATCTACTACTACTACTACTACTACTACTACTACTACCACTACTACTACTACTACTTCTACTACTACAAAACGATAAATTAATAAATACTAACAGATCATTATTATAAGCAAGACTAGTTGTTAGGCAAACAGTACATGAGGCACACTACATCGATCACGGCCTTCCTTGACACAAACAAAATCAAAAACCACGCGCTTATTTTCCACGACAAATTGTCATTCATGAGACTTCAAAGCAACGCAGACAAAGTACCACAACAGCCACTTCTGTCCCAGACAACACAGGCTCTATCAATTTACAACTTTGGGCGACACAATAATGTGTAGGAATTCCGTCTGAGGACAAACACGGTAAACAAAGAGGTACCAGTATTATCATTGTCTTAATTGAGGACATAACAAGAACGGCAGCATCTCGATATTTTCATCATGGCTTTTGACGTGAGATCAAAGGAATGATCAAATAGAGGAGTATGGATTTCCGGTGTCCACTCGTCTTCCGTCTCTACACCCTCGTTTTCGATCTCACTTAAGTGCCCGGATAGATAGATTTTAATCAACTGAATGACCCGTGTTCGCGTTTTTCGTCATTCATTACTTAAAAGCCGACAGGGCCATTTGCGGTGTCTATTTTGCTCGTGTTTACGATCTAATATACTCAACTGGAATATCTAGTACACGTATATTCGTATATTATTTTATTGCCTTTAAATCAATTTTCAGATAAAACCAAACATCACGCTCAGACTATCAAATTTCGTTTTCATAGGTTTACACGTGAAAACATATGAATCATATTAATATTGCATCTACTTACATACAGTATGTACTAAAGTTATTAATAATATATTTATAGCTCAAAACGCCATAAGTTCTGTGATATGATAGACGTAGTCAAGCCTATGTATTGCTACACTCCCTTCATCCATTGCAAGGGGCATGATTGGCCCAGTCGTCTAAGGCGCCGCGATTCGCTGTGTAGAGTTTACGCCAGAAACCTATGATTGTGGTTCCGATTCCCGGTTCGCCCCGATTGTGTTTGTAGGTTTGTTAGCACCATACCCGTCCTTTCACCGAAGTGGTAAACATCTGAGACCTGAATCACTTCGGGCTTTCCTCCCACATGAAGCTGACACGCCGTGATATAACTAGAATACTGTGAGACCTGCATCACTTCGGGCTTTCCTCCCACATGAAGCTGACACGCCGTGATATAACGAGAATACTGTTAAAGCGGCTTTAAATCCAACTCACTCACTCATACATTTTAAGTTTTATATCTTTAATGCTAATACCAGGTGATCTAATACATTATCACGATCTTAATGCTCACCTTTCGCAAACATCTGCATCATCACTGTTGGAATCGTTTTGACTCTTTTACGAGACGTTTGTTTATGGTTATGAAAAGAGTATTGTCTCGTTTCACATAATGATATTATTGTTTTGCATACAATTAATGTAGTTCTCGTTGTAACAAAGTTGGTTTTCTTACCTTGTTTTATGCAGTTAATCCACCGTCATTCACATCCCGTTTCGTGCCAAACGCCTTTTTATCCACCTCCGTTTTCTTCTTAGTAGACGAGATTCACAATCCCTCAGCCCTGCAAGGTCAAGAACGTAGAGCAATGAAATTTCCCCAGATTGTCTTAAGTGTCGTGTTACAGGGTTTTCCCCAAACCGCTCAATACCCTATAATTTATTCATTTACCTCTTATTGATCACGTGATCTATCGTCCAGTGCCTGCCACAAACCGAGGCCGACATGTTTTGATGGTCCGATGACAGCTAGAGTGATATCGACAACATCAGAGGATAGCTACAACGCCTAGAGAAATGTTTGTTCAGTGAAATAGAATATATGATTGGCTTGGGATTGAAGTCATTAATCATCTTTACTTTATCCCTTAATAGGTTTATTGAAATGAAATAAAAATAATTCTCTTCACAATTAGATTTTCACATAAAACAGCGAGCATCATGATAATTTTGATTGGAGAAAGTTTTCCTTATATTCTTGTAAGCGGATACCGATCTCGAATCTTAGCAATGCTTTATTTATATATATATTATTTTTTTTATTAACGCCCAACTCAGCAATATTCCAGCTTTATGACGGCGGTCTGTAAATAATCGATACTGGACAAGACAATCCAGTGATTGACATCATGAGCATCGATCAACGCAATTGGGATACGATGACATGCATCAACGAAGTCAGCGAGCCTCACCACTCGATCCCGTTACTCGCCTCTTACGACAAGCATAGTCGCCTTGTACGACAAGCATGGGTTGCTGAAGACCTGTTCCACCCCGGATCGCACCATCTGGCCATTTTGTATGGTTATATTCATACTCAGTAGACATGCATTACAATGTTGTGCGTGGAATTAGTGTCAAATGACTAACCCCGGATCTTCACGGGTCTCTAGCAATGAATGTCTACGTTATATTAATATAATCAAGGTGAGACTAACAGCAGGTTTTATCTAGATTACATCATATTATTCTATATATCTACACCTATGTTAATGTTATTCAAACATAGACGCCAATGGTGTTCATTAACAGCTTCTTTTGCAGAGATGCGTCCCTTAACTGACAGAATCGCTGGCCGTCTTTTCGAATCCAAGATTCAGCCCGATTTGGATACTTGATTTGTTCTCACATATATGTCCTGGGATTCGTCAAGGAGGTAAATGTATAGTGTAACACTGTGAATCCACACCAAGCCGATTTTGAGAAAGGCTGTTTTATAGATCGGTTCGTTTCCCATCACCCACCGCCCCTTATAATGTATTAGTTTTAAGCAATGTTAACAAGCGACGTTTTAGCTCCATTTTCGTTTTTATACCGGGCCGACTTTTTTGTACCTAAAGTCGAAGGTGGCGAAGCTTAAATATGTCACGTGGAAAATTAGAACTTTTCAGTAATATATATTTGAAGCAACTAAAGAAGTAAAAAGACATAAAATTCTCCCCACCCAGTCAGTTTTAAAAACGTCATGAGAAGCTCAAGTATATTTTACCTGATCTTTATAGAAATAAGTCAATAATCACCATACAATTTGATATGGACATTTGATGTCGCGTCCGCCGTCAGATTTTGTTGCTTGATGTGATAGTCACGTGAAGGTGTGAAATAAGTGTATAATCCAATATGGATTCGTCCAAATGCTGGCGGATATCCTATGGACTGAGTGAGTACGTTAGTTGGGTTTAATGCCGCGTTTAACACTATACCAGTCATATCACGGCGTGTCAGCTAATGTGTGAGGAAAGCCTGAAGTGATGCAGGTCTCAAACCTTTACCCCTTTGGTGAACCCCACGAGCACAGGTATGGTAATGACGAACCTAGAAACATAATCGGGGCGAACCCATCTTCCCGAGGCAAAGGAGTTAACTGACTATAAAAGTCCAGTTTCCCCCCTTGCCGAACTAGGCTGGTATTATGGAGTTACGTTTTGTCTGGACTAACGTGTCTATGCATAGTCCAATCAAAATCGCGCACCGAAATCAAAATCCGGTTCGTAAACTGTCGTGCAGATTTCGATCGATTGCAGGGTTTGCAAAGCATGTGCATCGCCAATTCGTTGTCAGCAGATATTTTCCTAATCCTTTCATGTTTTTAATCAAGGTGCTCACGTTATTTGATGCATTTCGCGATGTAAGACCCGTTTTATCACAATATAGATCTTTATTATCAATCAGATCGTCCTGACTGGGCGCCACCATTTTGTGTGAAGCAAACGCAAGTGATACGAGAGGTGGAATCTGATTGGTCCATAGGAGAGGCTTAGAAGGGACATCGTTGGTAATAGCCACTGTTGGCGCAACGATCGAGCCCAGTAATTCCAGCCTAGTTCGGCAAGGGTGGAAACTGGACTTTTAAAGTCAGATAACTCCCTTGCCTCGGGAAGATGGGGCGAACCCACACTAATAGGTTCATGGCATGCCCAAGGGACGCAACTCTGCCAAGCGAATTGCGGCGTCCTGGTCGACAGGGCCACCAGTGCCCTATACTATGTAATTGAGATGTGCTGTAGCCTTAGGTTCATGTTGTTGGATATGATGGATAAATAACATCATGAAAATTCAAAACACTTAATACGTGTGTTTTCCCCCTAACATCCAGACCCGCATGTTCTGTTCCCCATAGGGGCATAACTCCTTAAACATAGTGACTCAGTCGTCGTGACGACTATTTGATAACGTTATTCAGTCTGCGGAAATGGTTATTTTATTTCTGACTTAATCAGCTTAGAGGTCAGTCGGGTCTGGAGACCGACGACAGCACGTATAGGTCTCGGTGTATATGTTCCAGTGATGAATTGACTCCTTGCATGCAATACATTCAGATTAGTCTTAAGGAAGATAGGATATTACCGCAAGGCATGATGTCGGACAGTTAGTCGTAGGCTTAGTCCCGCCATGGAACTGACAAAAGCATATGTCGCTGAAGCTGGCGAGTAATTGGCACACGGCAATGTGATCCATGGGTGGACTCTTAGCAAATTAATCAGATTTATTCTACGACTGTGTAAATATAATTAATTAGAGGATGGTATTACCTACATCTTATATCTTTATAAGAAGGGATTTTTGAAAGTAGAAGTTATTTATGTAATTAAAGTTTTACATCGATCAGGCAATACTCCTGCGTTCGACAACGTGTCCGTGCACAGCCCTGGGATGATTGGATCTTTGGCAGTTTCTTTTACACAACTATCAGAACTGAAACATAGTTATTTAATATACTACACTAAGTGTTATTCTCAGTATTTATAAACCTAAACCTTTAAAACTCAGACTGTAAGGTGGCATGGGTGTCCTAGTCGACTACTAAGGTGCTGCAATTCGGGGCAGAGTTCGATCCTTTGGGCACACCAGCAACCCACGGTCGTGGGTTCGAATCCCGAATCTCCCCGATTATGTTTCTCGGTTTGTTATCACCATACCCCTGCTTGTGGGTTTCACCAAAGTTGTAAACGTCTGAGACTTCGGGCTTTCTTCCACATTAAGCTGACACGCCTTCAGATGACTGGAATACTGTTCAAAGTGGCGTTTACCCCAACTCACTCACTCACTCGAACTGGAAGGAACATTGGTAATATATCTAGTTACCCAGTGTACGAGACAAGCCGATCAATTATATACGTTAAGTTCTCTCAAACGATATATCGAGATAATAAAATTCGATATAGCGAGGTTTCGTGATTCAAATAAGCAGTTCCTTATTGTCGATATCTTACTACGGTACGTTGCTTTAAAATGAGTCTAAACAACGCACGTCATAAACAGACTTTGAATCAAAACAATTTATTAATACACACTTGAAGTGAGTTGACGTGTGTCGCATTGTGTCGTATAAAGTGAGGTTTGTATGTATTAAACAAAACCCAGAACATTAAAATACCAAAAGGTATTACAACCTGAATAACACTTCACATCAACAGACAATCTGTTAACATTAGCAGACGGAGGATGTTGCATTAATCAATATGATCACCAGACCGTGCATCTAAAACGCTACATGATTTGATCTGTTTGTTATTTAGATGTATAGTTAACTCTTTTGTCCTTGAATAAACTCAAAGTTGAATGACTTCTTCTCACAGCACTTTTAGAACACCGCAACATCGACGGAGTCGAATTGTTTTGAATAATGGTCCATGAAATCGATTACAAATCGATGCTACAAAAAAACCTGGTGTATTCTTCAAGGAAAGGTCTGGCATTGATTCTTTCATTTCGCCAGCTTCTCTTGAAGATAAAATTCAAAAGCATATTGTAGTAATATTTAAATCCACAGCGGATTATCAATAATACTAAAACCAAAATGATGTCGTCAGTAGAAATTATGCAATAGATGACAGCAGGACGCCAAAGACGGCAGTAATTGCGATATATTCGCCCATTAGCAGTCCACATTGACGCCATCTTGGAATTTGGTTGACGATCCTAGTTTTGCATAATGTATGGAAGGACTGCAGCGTTATGGGGGAATAAAACACGACTCGCTATGTCGGGGCAATAAACGGAATAGGAGCAAGACATTAATGTCGCGATTGCACGCATATTGGTCACATAATCGCCATTTAAATCAAAGTAACTCAACATCTGAACACATGCAACAACACTTCCTGTTGCGCGACAGTTACATCGAAAAACCGGATATTGTAAATACTGTTTTCGCAGCCGAAGTTCCGTAATCCCGTAGCGTTCTCCTGACATTGTTTCATGAGCTGATAATACCGAAAAGTTAGTTTGTTAATTGGTTTAAAAATACATCTAATTGAAGGGCCATCACAGTGCATTTCTATATTAGCTTGCTAAACCCAATTTGCTGATGTTGCGATAAGAAGGCGTACTTGAAGACAGCGAGAAGTGGAATTGATTTGTTTTCGCCGAAATGCAGGTTAATTTCACGGCCCCTTACTCACCAGCATAACAGATGGCTTAAATAAAAAATAAAAAAAGATGAAAACTTGTCAAATAATTCAAAAATATTTCCCCCTAAAGTCAAATGACACAACATGCCAAAAAATGAAAAATATAACTTTAGCCTTCATCAGCCGCCGTTTCAAAATTAGCTGGTGCCTTG